AGTAATCTAATCTAGGTCTACCTCTACCCCTCCTAACTCCTGTTTCTGCCTCTAATATGTCTCTGACTAGACCTTCATGCCTGAGAAGGTATCCTACCAACCTATCTCGCCTATCTTTTATTGACTTCCATAGAGTCCCCTGTTCTCCTATTCTTTCTAATACCTTTTCATTTCGTTTTCTATCTACGGTATCCTCATCACTCGCCTGTAACACCACATTTCGAACGCTTTCTTTTCCGCAGGGCCCACAGTCCATGTTTCGTACCCGTACAGCGTCGCACTCCAAACGTACACCTTTAACAATTAACCGTTCGCCAGCATAGAAATGACTTCTTTTTATAAAAGGCGACACGACCCTGCGCTATCCTCTGCTTTATATCCCTACTACTCCTTCCGCCCTGACTTATCTGACTTCCTAGATACCTAAAATCATCCACTTCTTCTAATATTTCGTCTCCTATCTTTATATTCGCCCTTTCCCTACTTTTTTACCCTTACATACCAGTATTTTTTTTATTTTTATTTGTTTTCATACAAAACTGTTTTGTCAATACCGCTTCCATTTGATTTAAATCTATCTCTAACTGCTCCTTACTAGATACTAATAATTCTATATCATCTGTAATTCTGTGCATATCAATCTTTTGCCCCTGTATATCTATCGCTGCAGTCTTTAATGATGTTGATCGCGTCTTCGATGTATAGATTAAAAAGTAGCGGTGACAGTGTACATCCCTGTCTGACTCCCTTCCTGATATTATTTCTCTACATTTCTGCTCCAGCTCTATAGCTGCTTGTTGCTCTTTATACAAACTAAGTATCACTCTTCCATCTCTGTAACATCTTTACATAGGTATGTGGGTGATAAAATACGAGGACTGTCCGAAAAGATTTTCACGAATACTCCTAATAAGAGTGGTTTTTTGTAGGTATTTATCAGTTGCTGAGTTTTCTTCTGAACCAAATCTTTAAACAATTTGGAAAAAGCAGACAGTAGAAAATAAGTTGTGTATTATGACAACATGGTATTAGTAAAACCTGATTTCAAAATAAACTTGTTTTGCGTACTCCACATTGGTTTGTTCTAAATTTGTTATTGGTAAAAACCGATATCAGGATAAACTAGTTTTGTCTAAGCCAAAAAAGTTTATTCGAAGAACAATAGGATAAACTAGTTCGTCTAGTTATTGGGTAAAATTATATATCCGAGCAAGCCATAAACCAACTTTCCGGAACATGGCTTAGCCTAGGTCGTGTTGTCTCTAAATCAGTGTTAGTTTTTGACTATTTAAATATTTCTTATTTTACTTATAGTTGTGCTGTTTAAAGAAATGTCTATTCGTTTAATATTATGTACCAGTTACCAGCACCGAACTATTTGGAACTTTTTCTTGCATAACTAAACAACCTACCTTGAAAAAACCTCCCAAATAGAGGCGAAACTTCATAAATAAAAGCCTTCCAACTCTTAATTGCCTTGAGCTTCACTTAATGTTATCCAAACTAAGGGATGAAATAGATAATTATTTCATTATATTTCGCGAAAAAGTCCGTAAGTTTCTTAATTTTAGGCATTATAAAAAAGCACAATCCAATAGGTTTGATCTTTCCAATTTACGGTATAATAGGTTGATAAATATATTTTGAATACTTATTTTTAACAATTTAATGATTTTCATCTTTAGCTGACGGGTACAGGTAGAATTTAGATTTATTTAGATATATTAGAATTAGACTAAGACACGTTTAAAATAAGTGAAAAGTCGCTTTCATCACGAAAATATGATGTCCAATTAGATTTTCTTCTTTAACGCCAAGCTTTAATTTATTACGTAGGTATCTAATTTTCAAAGGTTGATGTTCGTTGTTATTACGTAAGAAAATATTCATTAGGGATTACCTACAGTAACACTTATACACTTTAGAAGAATTAAGAAGTATTAAAAAAACCTGTATTTTAACTTATTATGTTTTTAAATCCACAAAAGTCGATAGCGTGTAAATGTAAAAGCTTCTACATCTACTGGGTACTATTAAGTTGGTTGTTGATGATTAACTTTCACCAATATCGTGTCTCCTTTGTACTTTAAAGGGCGATTTAAAACGGAACTAGTTTAATCACATTTTACAACATTGTAGTTTCACTTTTATTAGAAATGTTAAAATATAAGAATGATGATTTACCTACTACTATTTTGAATTAGCTAGAAACACAAAATCTGTGAAAGTTTTATATGACCGTCAGTTAATAGCAGTTTCAATTATTATCATCGCCCTTCCACTTTATAATACGTATCAGCTACAAATATTACATGACAGCGTAAAGTTCACTTACCAAAATAGATGCACTGGAGTCTTCTATAATATACGTATGTTCCAAGATTCGAGTCTACCTGTAAAGAATTGAAATAATTGTTGTAGTATATATCTTCCAAACAACCAAATTTTACTGATACCATATGGTACCATTACATTAAAATTATCTATGCCATAAGAAAAGTAAACAATTAATTAGTAGAGGACTTATTATTTGTTTAAAGTTTTAAGTTGTACATTAATTCATGATAAAGTTAAACCACAATTAAAAACTTAATTCAACTAGATACCTATACCAATTCGGAAAAACTTTAGAAGAAAATTCGTCAGAGAGGTATGGAATCAGGAACGTAACAATAAAAACGCACATGGAAATCAAAAGCTGATACTGCACAGAATTTTTTATTCGAAATGTATTAGGAATTAATAGATTAAATTAATCGAAGAGTAGCAATAAATAATTTAAATATAATACGCATTAATAAAAATCGACTTCAATACTTTTTGCTAATATGCACAAACTTATTACCTAAACTAAAACGTAAAACAGGGGAGTTTTCCGCTAATATTCCACCATTAAATTTAACTTGAGATGTGGCCTATTCAATAAAAATTGAATTGAAAATTGAATTACAACCTTTTATAATCATCGATCAACTTATATTGGTTGTAGGATTTAAGAGAGAAGAAATTCCAAAACTGAATAATAAATGTATGTAAATGAGACAGAATTAGATTTCATTTCATCCCCTTGTACTAATAATAGAACAATCAGAGCCGAAAAAGGAGTGAAATAAATAAATTATAACCATCGTTTCACCTCTAAGATTGGAGACCCTTTCAGGGTCAATCTTGAGCCGTTAATTACAAACTTTTGTAGGTGTATTATTTTATTTCCTTACGTATGTGTTTAACCAATGCCTTTTTGTGACATGTACCAAAACCACGTTCTGAAAAAGTTTGTAATAAAGGCCTGAGGACTTCGATCTTGAAAGTGAAAGTTTTGCTGTGATTTTTATGTAAAAAGACTTATTTTACCCCTTTTTTGTATCTGATTGTTTTATATTGTAAATATAACATTTATATAGTATACTTACAGGAAAAGTTGCTGGGATGATGTACGCACTCAGAAAAATGTTTTATGAAAAATTACTACAACGTTGTAGAGGTCGTTTTGTAGAAAATGCAACTCAAATTTGTAGTAAGGTTAACTAACGGTAAATTTAAATTTAATTATAAAATTGTAGTGGTAAATTGCAGGAGAAATATCGACAGGGGCTCAGACAAATTCCTTACAATTTGACTGCAATATTTACAACTTCGTGAATTTTATTACAAATTGTAGTAAGATTAAATAAATTTTGTAGCAAATATAAAGAAAAACTGTAGCAATATTTATTGAATATTTATTTCCGTTTCAATATTCTGTTCTGCCTCAGATACATGTATACCATACAACATGCATACAACATATATATATATATGTTGTATAATTCTTTCTTGCAAACAAATATGCTATAATTTTGTATAATTGTTTTTAATTATTGTATAGAGATATGCTACAGTGAAAAGTAATTTTTAAGAGGAATTTGCAGTACATATTCTTTAACGTTGTAGTAGAGAGACAAACAGTTTGTAGGAAAAAAAGTAATTACAATATTATATTAATTTTCACTACAACTTGTCTCTGTTCCTATATTCGCTACTATTTGTAATGAAAAGTTCTACAGTTTTCTCTGAGTGCAGTATTTTAGAATAAAGCATTTAGAAAGCAAAAACATAGTGAATAATGTTAGACTCCTTGTAACAAATAACTGGAGACATTCTGAGATACTTTGTTGCCAGGCTTCTGATGTAGTTTACTACATGCGAGGGTTGATCCGTTTGCTCCGCCCCTGACCCAATCATAAACAGAAATAATTATTTATTTTCACTTCGGATTGTGTCATACTACATACATACATACATACATACTAACACTTCATACTTAAATTTGGATAATTACGATGCAGGGACCAAATAAGGGGAAGGAATGAACCCATAGGTGCTTACCGCTGTCGTAAAAATTCAAAATGCTACCTACAAATTTTAGTAGACTTCCTACAGAAAGCGACCACAATTAGAGGCGCTTATTAAAACAATTTAATTACAAAATTACGTCAGTTGATATCAGTTGTATCAGGATAACGCACCCACCATATTAGCCATATTTGGCTCCTAGCGATCCCCGACTGTCTTCAAAACTTAAAGAATCCTTGTGTGGTAAGAAAATGAAGTGACATGAAAAATTTCTCCAAAAAGTATTAGAATTGCTAGAAGTTTGGTGGTAAAAAGTGTTGACTTTAATGGAGACAATTATGGAAAATAAATGTAAAATATTTGAAAATTTCTTATTGAAAATAGGTCAAGGGCGGAGCAAAGGGATCAGCCCTTGTATATGTAGGTACATAAGAAAATACAGTTTGTGTGTGTGGTAATTAGTCATTTTCAAGAAATTTAATAAGAAAAGAGAAGAGAAGAATGCAAGAAAATGAACGGCAACGATGGAGAGAAATGCCATAGCTGACGGCAGACAAGTTCGAAGTAACGGGAATTTCTTTGAGAAGGTAACTCTTGCTATGTGCAAAGACTGCTCTCGATAACAATTACAAAGAAGCAGCTACAGGACGTGTCTTCCGTCTGTTTGTTTTGCGTGCTTTACACATGAATAGCTTTCTATTATGAGAGAAAAAAGTCAGGTAGTGAAAGAGGAGCATTGTTTAGTAATGAGACAATACGAGTAAATAGACACAAGTAATGCAAATTAAAATAAATAATATAATAAAAACCTTCGGAAAATGCTTGAATGCTTCTGATCGACATGAATGGATTTTGACCTTATTGCAATTTACATTGTTTTGCAAAACTCAATGTTTCTTAACTGAATTCAAGACGTTTCCTAGGTACAAATTCATTCGATAATGTATACATGGTACTGAGACCGAAACGACCTTTAAAAGAATTTTGTGCATCCCTCTGCCTGTAAGGGTAATCTTTGAAACGGCTGAACAGATTTCGATTGGATCTTCTAAGCTTGAAGGAAGTATTGTAAGGAGAGACATAAGCTACATTTTTTTGTTAATTATTAGTTATAATAATTGTACTCATTACAATCAGAAATAGCGTCACGCGGACGAAATCAATGGTAAAAGCTAAGAAATAGTCGCATCTGAAATAAAAAGTAGGTATAGCGTTAATAAAGGATTAAAAAAGTGTAATACCTTCCTTCATTGTAGAAGTAAAAGGAAAGGGTGTAATGTATAGGACAGTGGCATATTCGGAAAAAAGTAGAAAAATGTAAATTCTCCCGCTCCGTACAAATCTGCCGATAATTATAACAGTAACAGTTACCTTCCACATACATACTGCTTTATGGATTAGTTATTAAAATACAATAAAAGGTATATTAAAACAAATAAAACAAAACGTTATCTAAAGAAGTAGCAGTTTCTTTTATTAAGGTAAATATAATTATCTCACGTGCATATTTTAATCATATATTTGCTTCTAAAATAATATACTTTTTAATCACTTTTTAATTTTTCGTTTCCACGCTCAGATAAATGAAATTTTACATCACTGCAATTTTCTATTTTACTACATGTGATGCTCACTTGACAATATTTAAAATAACAATGCTTAATACTAGTCAAAATTAGAGATGAACAAAGCAAGATCAAGACTAAAACTGTCCCAGTCTTGGTATTGATCTTGGTCTTAGTGTTAGTCAAATACGTCTAGTCTTCGTCTTGGTCTTGCCGATAACGCCACAGTAATTGTCTTAAATGCTGAAATTTTCTGTCATACATGCGAGCTTGTCATTAAAATAGCGTCCATAGCTGTGAGAACTTACCTTTCATGCAATGTACCAACGAACAAATTGACCTTTTAGCAAACAAGGTAGTTGAAGGAAGTAAAAATATCGAAAAAACTTGGTTTGTTTCTATATTTCAACCATGTGTTATCCAGACATAGGAACAAATAAACTTTCTCCAAGGACATTCTTGTAATCAAATTTTTCTAAAAGTGGTAAAGTTTTTTTTAATATTTTGTGTTAAAATCTAGCAAAGCAAACCGAAAATTTATATTAAAGTTGCTTCAAATAGTTTAACTCATAAATTCACCGGAAGTAATAATTTTTCGTTTTGTCTTGCTTATTTGGTATTGATTTTGCATTATTTGGTCTTGGTGTCAGTCTTGGTCACGTTCATTCAGTAATGGTTTTAGTCTTGGTCTTTTTGTTCGGTCTTGGTTTTCGTCTTGCGAAAGTTGAAGACCAAGACCTATTTTGTTCATCACTAATCAAAATTTAATTAGTACAGAAATTTATACAATACGCATTAGGGATAATTGTTTAAATAATTGTATCGACTAATCAAGGGACCACATACCCCTAGGCCCTAGGTGCTGCAAGGGGGTTGTTGCTATATGATTATATTATTAGAGATTATGTAAATCTACCTGGGCATATTATACTTGAGGGCTACAAAATCCTTCCGGCCGAATTTACCACTATAATCAACAAATCGCAAAATTTGTACGCGTGATGTGTTCTAGTTTCTTTCAAAATTTTTTTCTGTTAATTCGCCAAGTTTATTTTATTCTCGATTCTAATAAATAAAATAGATTGGATCTTAAGGTAATGACTTTCGGATTAATCATTGATTAGAAATATAGACGTTTGCAATTTCTATATAATTCTGCTATCAATCCATAAATCATTTTCGGAACGTACCTGCAGATAAAACGTCAATTTCTCTCAACACTTATTGCAAATGCGATAAAAAATTAAATTGAACTTAGAACTTGTGTGCAAACTCATCACTTTAACGACGTCTAAAAAATGAAACTGAAAATTAAATTATTTTAAACCGTTCCTTGAATTCGTATTACTTATTAAAGGACATTATATTAGAATAAAATAATTTACCTAATACTACTTAATATACATAGCATATATTGTTGTCATATAAAAGATAAGTACGTAATTTGCTATTTCATATCTTTATACCAACAATCGACTTTAGAAAGCAAAAGT